TGAAATATGAAACTAACTGTACAAATCGCTGACTGGGTAACTAATTTGCTCTGTATATTTCCACCCAAACCACAATAGAATATTCAATAAAAAGTCAGTCGCATTTCGATATTCTATTAACAAATGTACATAGGGTCACTACGAGTCTGGACCAACCCAACAGTACCTAACAACAACGAACATCAACAGTTAATGCACGTTAAAAAGTTCTCTTGTAGCTACTGAAAATGGTAAAGTAACCAGGACTAAGTATGAAAAAAGATGTTATGCTTTTTGTGGTGGAAATTAACAAGCTTAATTGAAAAACACTGAAGATCTAAATAAGACATTGTTGTATGGCAGAATTAAATAAGACATTAACAACAATCCCTAGATTATCTTTGAAAATGTCAATCTTTGGGGTTTTTTGGGAGGAGAGTAGGGAATAGCTGGGTAACAGTCAAGGTTTCCCTAATGCAGGGCAAAGCAAGGTTTGTTCTGCAACTAACAGATATAAAATTCTATAAAACTACAGTGTTTCAAATAGTGTAGGAGTAAAAGTTCTAGTAAGTATAAAAAGAAAGAAAACACATCCAAATTAAAAAGGAAGAAGCAAAATGAGTGTATTTGTAGACATAATCGTCGGTGTTTTAAGTTGCTGTTAGGTGAAGTCGAGGCCATTCAGATACACAGCAACACCGTGTGCATCAGAAGGAACCACAGTTGTTATGCTTGAGCCCACTGTCACCATCACTGACCGCTCCATCTTGTGGAGGGTCTTCGCCTTTCTCTAACCCACTACTCTTCCAAGCATGATGTCCTTTTCCAAGGACACCTCTCTCTAAAAGCATAATCTTCTAACTAGAAAATGCAACAGACACCTACAAAAAGCCTCTAGATTAAGTGAGTTTAACAAGGTTACATACTACAAGAGCAATACCAAAATGTCACTTTATCTCTATTTCCTAGCAACCATTCATCCGACAATGAAATCAAGAAAACAATTCCTTGATGCATGATTCCCGCTCCCAAGTCCTCGTCCAACCCCCACCCCCATGAACAACAGAAACCTAAGTGAAAGGTGACAGAGGTCGGTGTAAGATATGGAAACAATAGTAACTTATAATTTATCAAGGGGTCACAAGGGAGGTAAAAAGAGGAGCTGCTACCAAGGGCTCAAACAGAAAGTAAATGTTTAGAAAATGATGGCAACATATGTACAAATATGCTTGATACAATTGATTTATGGATTGTTATAAGCGCTGTAAGAGTTCCCACTAAAATGATTTTAAAAAAAAAGAATTCCATTTACATTAGCCTAAGAATAAAATACTTAGGACTAAATTTAATATATCTTTGCTGAAATTACAGAAGAGCAAAATAAATAGAGAGATGTTCTATGTTTATCAATTAGAACACTCAATTTCGTTAAAGCAGCGATATTACCCAACTTCATCTCTAGATATAACAAATGCTATTAAAAAATCATAGGCATTTTTGGTGGAAATTGACAAGCTGATCCTAAAATTTATGTGGAAGTGCAAAGGACACAAAGCAATCTAATAATTTTGAATACAGATAAATTTAGAGGACTTATACTAACTGATCTCAATACCAAAGCATAAAGCTACAGTAATTAGAAGCCTGGTGCTAGTATAAAGCCAGCTATTTAGGTAAATGTAGTAAGAGTCCAGAAATAAACTCTTATAAGGGGTTAGTTCATTTTTGACAAAGGTACCAAAAGCCTTAATAGAACAACTGAATATTTCTTCGCAAAACAAAATCACATATAGCCTCCTCCCTGGGGGATGGACAACAGAGAAGA